AGGCAAAGAAGGGAGTTACCATATATGCTGGTGTAATTTATCCTGACTACCAAGGGGATATCTGATTGGTGTTGCACATAGAGGTAAAGAAGAGAATGTCTGGAATGCAGTATATCCCTTAGGACGTCTCTTAGTACTACCATGCCCTGTGATTAAAGTCAATGGAAACTACAGCAACCCAATTCTGTCATGACTACTAATGGCCCATCCCCTTCAGGAATGAAGCTTTGGGTCATCCTACCAGGCAAAGAAGAACAACCATCTGAGGTGCTTGCTGAGAGTAAAGGGAATATGGAATGGGTGGTGGAAGAAGGTAGTTCCAAATACCAGTTATGACCATGTAGAAAAGAGGATTTTAATTGTTATGAGTATTTCCTCCTCTATGTGTGCATCAAATATTTTTGTTTTCTTCACTTATAAAATATGAGATGTAAATGGGGCTAGTGCATTTTCGGTTGTACACGTTAGTTGTATCATGTTAGATGCAAGTATGACTTTGTAATTGTCCTTATTTAGAGATTGTGTATAGTTTAAGGAGATGGGTACAGGTGCCAAGTTGACAAGGGGTGGACTGTGATGGTTAAGGTTGTGTCAGCTTGGCTGAGCCATGATTCTCAGTGGTTTGGCAGTTATGTAATGATGTAGTTTGGCAGTTATGTAATGATGTAGTCATCCTCCATGATGTGATCTGATGTGATCAGCCAATCAGTTGTAGGGGGAGTTTTCTAGGGGGTCTGGCCTCCATCCAATATATATATGAACATTCCGGCAAAGTTTGCTTGCTTGCTCAGGATCCTGCATCTGGCTCATCATCATCTGACCTCTGGTTCTTGCAACTTAAGGCAGTGGTCTGCTGTATTGCCTGCCTATCTTGAGATTCATCAGCCTCCACAGTCTATGAGCCAGTGACCTGCCATCTTTCCTGCCAATCTTGGGTTCATCAGCCCCTGCAGCTACATGAGTCAGGAGAAGCCTCCAGCCTGATGCCTGACCCATGGACTTGGGACTTTCCAGCCTCTACAACCACATGAGCCATTTCCTTGAGATAAACCTCTCTCTCTCTTTATACACACACATACACACACACACACACACACACACACACACACTTCACTGGTTTTGCTTCTCTAGAGAACCCAGCCTAAAACAGGCTCCTTGGAAGAAAGACCTCAAGATATACCTCCAAAAAACTATCCATTGAAAACCCTGTGGAGCACAGTTGTACTCTGACACACATGGGGTCACCATGAGTCAGAGTTCACTCCACGGCAACTAGTTTAAGTCAGAGTCAGAGAAACTGCCCACATATCTGCTTATTGTGTGCCCTTTGTTCAGTTCTGCCTAGTATTTGGAAATGGATATACTCAATAGGATAGCATCTTGCCTAGTAACCAATGAGAAGGCTTGGAGATTTTTTTCCTCTTTGCTTGTGATGGGATGGCTTCAGATCACACCCCCAGCCATTCAGAGTTCATGCTCCCTGCTATTAGGGAGTATTTCATTAGGAAAGTTTGAGTAGTTACAGGCACAGTTACGAATACTTGTTCGACATAACCAAACATCTCACAGGATTGGTTTTCTGAATTTGAAGGCTTAGGACCTTAGTCTCATGGGACAACTAGTTCAATTGGCATATAGTTAATTAATACGGGCAGTCCCAGGTTATGAATGTCTGACTTACAAACAACCCGTAGTTACGAACCAAATTCAGAAAAGCCCATTAGTTGTTGTTGTTAAGTGCCATCGAGTTGGTGCTGGCTCATAGCAACCCTGTGGACAACAGAATGAAACACTGTCCAGTCCTGCACCATCCTCACAATTGCTGTCATGCTTGAGCCCATTGTTGCAGCCATTGTGTCAGTCCATCTTGTTGAAGGTCTTCCTCCTTTTTGCTGACCCTCTACTTTACCAAGCATGATGTCCTTCTTCAGGGACTAATCCCTTCTGATAACATGTGCAAAATACATGAGACATAGTCTCGCCATCCTTGCTTCTAAGGATCATTGTGGTTGTATTTCTTCCAAGACAGATCTGTTCATTCTTTTGGCAGTCCATGATATATTCAATATTCTTCACCAACACTGCCTTCCAAGGCATCAATCCTTCTTCGGTTTTCCTTCACATGCATATGAGATGATTGAAAATACCATGGCTTGGGTCAGGTGCACCTTAGTCTTCAAGGTGAGATCTTTGCTTTTCAACACTTTAAAGAGGTCTTTTGCAGCAGATTTGCCCAATGCAATGCATCTTTTCATTTCTTGACTGCTTCTTCCATGGGTGTTGATTGTGGATCCAAGTAAAATGAACTCCTTGACAACTTCAGTCTTTTCTGCATTTATCATGATATTGCTTATTGGTCCAGTTGTGAGGATTTTTGTTTTCTTTATGTTAAGGTGTAATCCATACTGAAGGCTGTCGTTTTTGATCTTCATCGATAAGTGCTTCAAGTCTTCTTCACTTTCTGCAAACACGGTTGTGTCATCTACATAACGCAGGTTGTTAATGAATCTTCCTCCAATCCTGATGCCCCATTCTTCTTCATGTAGTCCAGCTTCTTGGATTATTTTCTCAGTATACATATTAAGTATGATGAGAGGATACAACCCTGACGCACTGCTTTCCTGACTTTAAACCATGCAGTATCCCCTTGTTCTGTTCGAATGACTGCCTCTTGATATATGTACAGGTTCCTCATGAGCACAATTAGGTGTTCTGGAATTCCCATTCTTTGCAATGTTATCCATAATTTGTTATGATCCACACAGTCGAAAGCCTTAGCGTAGTCAATAAAACACAGGTAAACATCTTTCTGGTATTCTCTGCTTTCAGAGAGGATCCATCTGACATCTGCAATGGTATTCCTCATTCCACGTCCTCTTATGAATCCGGCTTGAATTTCTGGCAGTTCCCTGTTGATATACTGCTGCTGCCACTTTTGAATGATTTTCAGCAAAATTTTACTTGCGTGTGATATTAATGATATTTGATAATTTCCGCATTCGGTTGGATCATGTTTCATGGGAATAGGCATAAATATGGATCTCTTCCAGTCAGTTGGCCACGTAGCTGACTTCCAAATTTCTTGGCATAGAGGAGGGAGCACTCCCAGCTCTGCATTTGTTTCTATAAAGCCTATTATTAAAAATTTGAGGTACATGCAATGGTTCATAATAACAAATGGATGCTACTTTGTGACACACATCAAAACGTTATTATTATTATCACTGTATTATTATGTTAAAGATATTTTAGTGTATCTGGAAGTGTTTCTTTAATGTTTTTTATGCATAGAAAGGTACACTATATACTATATAGTAAGACAAACATTTGACTAACTGATGTTAAATACAAACTGTACCTGACTGTTTTGACTTACATACAAATTCAACTTAAAGACAGATTTAGGAATGGAATTTGTTTGTAATCTGGGGGCTTCCTGTATACAGTTCATGTCCTGCATCCTAGTTTGGAGAGTAGAGTCTGGGGCCTTAAAAGCTTGTGAGTGGCCATCTAAGATAAAGCTATTGGTTTCTTCTCATCTGGAACAAAAAAAGAAGGAAGGAAACCAAAGACTCAAAGAAGAAACTAGTCTACAGGACTAGTAGTCTAGACGAACCACAGCTTCGTTTGTCCTGAGACCAGAAGAACTAGATGGTGCCTGGCTACCACTATCGACTGTTCTGATCATGGCCACAATAGATGCATCCTGATAGAATGTGAGAAAAATGCCGAACAGAACTCTAATTCTTAAAAAATCCAGACTTACTGGACTGGTTGAAACTGGAGGACTCCTTGAGACTATTGCCCTGAGATACCCTTTAAACCTTGAACTAAAACTAGCCCCTGAGGTCACCTTTTAGCTAAATATCAGACTGGTTCACAAAATAAAGAATATCACGTGTGAATACTGTACTCCTTTAAAAAATCATCTATGTAGACCAAACAGTCAACAATTACTTTTTAAAAAAAAAAAGATGTGATGGTATGTGGGCAGGGAAACAAGATTACTGGACCCCAACAACCAGAACAGAAATAATGAGAATGTTCATGCATTGTGATGAATGTAAACAATGTCACTGAACAATTTGAGTAGAAACTGTTTAATGGCAACCTAATCTGCTGTGTAAACTTTCACCGAAAACACAATAAAATAATAATAATGATAATAAATTTTAAAGCCTAAAAAAAAAAGAAGGAGAAAAGTTCAAGGAGCATTACCCTAGAGTCATTTTTTTCTCTTACTGCCAACAACCGGTTTGCAACAGATACTCCTATCTTACTTTCTAAATATTCCACCAAATAGTCCCCCTTCCTCCACACCCTTAGTTCATGTTGTCATCATTTTTTATTCCAGTTAGTGCAGTAGCTTTCTTCCAACCTGGACTTTCTGCCTATAGTTAGGGTACCCTCTATACAAATAAACCTTCAAATCAGAGTGGCTTAATAGACGTTTATTTGTGGTGTTTCTACTCTGGGATGGCTTTTGTCACAGGGACCCAGGGTCCTTCAGTCTTGTGAATCTGTAATGCTGTAAGGAGGCAGGAACTGGATTTTTTTTTTTTTCTATAAAAGGCCAGAGAGTAAATATTTTAAGCTTTGCGGGCTATACAGTCTCTTGCAACTACTCAACTCTGCCGTTGTAGAGAAGAAGCAGCCATCAGCATAACCAAATGAGCATCGCTGTTTTCCGATAAAACTTTATATATGGATGTGAAATTTGAATTTCATATGATTTCCACCTGTCAAGAAATATTATTCTTTTGACTTTTTTTTCAATTATTTAAAGATGTAAAAACATTTTTAGTTTGAGGGACATACAAATGGAACCAGCAAGCTGGATTTGGCGTGTAGGTTATACTTTGTTGATTGACTCTTGCATTAGAGATAAAATAAAACTAAATTTAAAATATTGTGGCCTGATGACTCAGACTACTTAATTTTGTGTGGTTTTGTTTTAGCAACTGAGCATAAAGTGTTTGCCTCTTTGCTTTTTTTAACAGGCTCTGGAAATATGGCGATGTCACATCCTATTGCTGCCACCACACCTGAAGGGAGCAACTATGGAGCAATAGGTATTTCTTATTATAAGCCCATTCATGGGATTATTTCCTAATTCTCCAGGACATAGGATACAAAGAGCCCTCCAGCCCGTAACAACTGTGACTGTGGGCAAGGCTGTCATCACATGAGATCACTTTTATTTATGAGTTGATTGGATAATTTGGGCGGTTCCTTCCAATTCTAACTTTCTGTATTCTATTGTTCCGGTGTTTGGGGGCTGCTAACTATACTTGAGCTAGATGCCCCACAATGGCACCCATCAACTACACAGGCCGCAATGGAGGCTTCTTCATACCTAGCTTTAGTTTAGGGCATGGAAGATGTGTCAAAGTCTGATGTCAGAGAGCTTATTGACCACCTGTTTCATTCTCAGGTTTCAGTGGAGTAAGGGCGATCAGAAGACTAAGGCCATGCTGCAGGTGAACATGCTGTAGCCTAACAATCCTTCATTTTGGCTAACTTCATAACTGAACCTACTCACTGCCACCCAGTCATTCACATGGCAACCCCCAGTGCTCATTAGGTGGCCTGAGAGGAAAAGAATCCCTAATCCTGTCTCGTTAGGGGACGAGTGTGTTGAGCTGCCTTCCCCTACCATGATGCTTATGGGCCTATAAATGGTGCTTCTTAAAATGTCAGTGTAGAGAGACTGGGAACCCTGTTTTTCTGTAACTTTGAGAAGCATGTGGGCTTAGTGCAGGCTACCTATTTCTGGCTCTGTAGGAACAGGATTTTTTAACCATCTGAACAGAAGAAATAAAACAGAATGTAGCCTCTGCTCATATGCTCATCAAGCTGCACAAAGTCCCAGCTGCTCTGGGAAACATTCACAGAAACACAAGGATTCTTCTTCCTGAGAATGTTGTTTTCAGTATATAATCATAGATATGGCATGCAGGGGATTTCTTTGTACAAATACTTTATCTGTGAGAAATGCATAGCTGCTGGATATATGTGCTTACACATATATGTGGTGGATGCTATACATGACTATTGCATGAGTATGTTTATATATTTATATTCATATTTAAAAATATGAAACATAAAATATAAGCACAATATGACTTTTGCATACAAAAAGTTAACAGAGCAGATGCCACTATATTCTAATACGTAATAGGTAGATAAGTTAAATATAAAAATAAGAGGAGAGGAAAATTAAAGGTACACTGAGGAGGAATTGAGAGAAAAAACATGCGTTCTGGGTAAGAGTTGGTTTTGACGTCCACAGTGTTTTCAGAAATGAGTCAGCACTGTGCTTATTGCAGAGGAGTGGACTCCATGGGGTCTCTTGGCTTCTGAAGGCAGATGCGCGCTCTCTGTTTCAGATGAGTCAAGCTCCAGTCCTGGCAGGCAGGTGTCCTCTTCAGACGGTGGACAGCCATGCCAGTCAGACACTGACAGCTCCGTGGAGGAGAGTGATTTCGACACCATGCCAGATATTGAGAGTGATAAAAACATCATCCGCACCAAGGTACGCTGCTTGGCCATATTCTTTGAGAGGTCAGAAAGTTTGGCAATAGCTACAACTTAAGCAATGCCTCAGTTTCTTTTTGTTTTTTGTTTTTTTTTTACTCTTTAGAGGAAGTCAAATTTCCCAGAAGGTGTAGATAAAACATTAAAAAAAAAACCACCACTAGTTGCTGTGGAGTTGATTCCAACTCATGGCAACCCCATATATATATGTCAGAGTAGAACCGTGCTCCATTGGGTTTTCAATGTCTGGTTTTTTTTTTTTGGAGGTAGATCTCCAGGCCTTTCTTCTGAGGCATCTTGAGTGGACTTGAACCTACAATCTTTTGGTTAACAGCCCAGTGTGTTAACTGTTTGCACTACCCAGGGATTCAGACTAAAAGCCGTACTCTATTAATTAGCACTTGTTTGTGCAGATTGGAAAGATAAAGAAAGTGAGATCAGAACATTAAAACACTATAGGGTCTGAAGTGGCTGACTGTGGACAATGATGAGTAAAGTAATCCAACCAGATGGAAGAAAAGATTCATCTGAAGGATGTCAATGGCATCACTAGGGGGGTGCGGACCACACGAGGTGACGCTGTCAGAGGGAGTGATACCAAAGTGACTGTCCATAAAAATATCCCTGTAGTTATAACAACAAAAACATTTTTCTAAGCCCAGCTTACATGTATCACTATACCTACAAGGCTAAAACTCTATGCTAGTTTACTTTTTGAACCTTCTAATGCACGCCAGTCAGAACTGTCATTATTACCCAATTACAATAACCCATTGAATCACGTGGTTTCATCTGCACGAGCAACAAGCACTTGCTGTTGTTTTCATTTCTGCCAATGTTTTTATAGTCATTGATATTGCCAAATTTTCTGGTGTTTTAGCTACAGTATTGTGGTAATTATCTCTGGACATATATCAATAACTTTTTTGAGAACAAAATAGTAGTTAAAGGAAAAGAAGGAATGATATATGGTAATTATGATTTATGAGTAACATTAGTACAAAAAACATTACTAAGGATTCTGTGTTGTCTGGCACAAGAGGAGGCCTGTGGAGGGGTGGGGCACCATGAGTTACTGCCCTGGGTGACACCAACCCTAGTGACATCCCTGAAGGACGTATCTGACAAAGAAGGAGCCATGGTGGCCCAGTGATTAAGCTCTTGTCTTCTAACTGAAAAGTTCAGTGGTTCAAACCCACCAGCTGCTCTGTGAGAAAAAGATGTGGCACTCTGCTTCCTTAAAGATTACAGCCCTGGAAACCCTATGGGGCAGTTCTTCTCTGTCCTATAGGGTCACTATGAGTCGGAATCGACTCAACAGCAATGGGTTTTATCTGACAAAGCTCCCTACTTCTATACATTATCATCCTTTAGAAGTAAAGCTCAGTTCTTTCTTGTATATATTTATTATATTGTATTGTATCCGGTAAGGGATACAAAGGTGAAATGCACAGTTTCAACTCTACATAACTCAAAAACAACATGGTGGACAGCTCTGAAAACTTGGAAATCAATTCTGAGGTGTAAGAAACATTTGAAACACCCAATAGCTCTTCCATATCAGCCAGTCCTTAGTATTACAAGGAAAATACTAGAATTTTTATTGGAGTATCCCAAATAAAAGAATAAATTAAAAAGAAAAGTCTTGTTGAATAATTTTAATCTCTAGTGTGGAAATAAGTTAAAATTTGTAATGCTCTCCTTTGTGTTCTATGCAAGAAAAGCCAAGTGTGGTTTTACATTCTTTTTCTATTTGGCATCTCAGATGTTCCTCTACCTGTCAGATCTGTCCAGGAAGGACCGGAGAATTGTCAGCAAGAAATACAAAATTTATTTTTGGTGAGTAAATGACCGGTAAGGCCATGATTCTCTTAAGTAAAATTGAAAGATACAAAGATAAAGAATTAGTTTTCTTTGTAAAACCCTAACCACTATGTCACATGATTTCAGTGTTTAATGAGACATAAATATAGGGATCCATGCCACATTCCATAGGAAAAACAAAAACAAACTAAAAAACAACCAGCCCTAAATTAAATAAATGCAAAGTAAAAATAAGAATGTTAGTAGAATCACGTCCATTCAGGGAGCTGTCTTAGTCAGAGTTCTCTAGAAAAACAGAACCAGTGAGATATGTGTATATAGAGAGGGAGATTTGTATAAAGGGATTGGCTCATGTGATTGTGAGGGCTGGGAAGTCCAAAATCTGTAGGTCAGGCAGCGAGTGGAGACTTCTGCAGACTTGCACTCCAAGATCTGTAGATCAGGCAATTGCAAGAGTGCAGAAGGGAGAGAGAGAGAAAGTTCTGCCAAAATATCTATTTATAGTCTGGAGGCAGACTACACCTAAGGAAACCCCCCTTTCAACTGATTTATTGATTACATTACATTACATTGCATTATTGAAGGTGATTACATTACATCACATTGTGAAACAGCAACTAGTCAAGCATTTGGCCAAACTACTGGGAATCATGTTTACCTGTGTTTTATTGACTATGCAAAGGCTTTCGACTGTGTGGATCATAACCAATTATGTATAACGTTGTGAAGAATGGGAATTCCAGAATACTTAATTGTGCTCATGAGGAATCTGTACACAGATCAAGAGGCAGTTGTTCGGACAGAACAAGGGGATACTGCATGGTTTAAAGTCAGGAAAGGGGTGCATCAGGGTTGTATCCTTTCATCATACTTACTCAATCTGTATGCTGAGCAAATAATCTGAGAAGCTGGACTATATGAAGAAGAACGGGGCATCAGGATTGGAAGAAGACTCATTAACAACATGTGATATGCAGATAACACAACCTTGCTTGCTGAAGTGAAGAGGACTTGAAGCACTTACTGATGAAGATCAAAGACTACAGCCTTCAGTATGGATTACACCTCAACATAAAGAAAACAAAAATCCTCTCAACTGGACCAATAAGCAACATCATGATAAATACAGAAAAGATTGAAGTTGTCAAGGAGTTCATTTTACTTGGATCCACAATCAACACCCATCGAAGAAGCAGTCAAGAAGTGAAAAAGATGCATTGCATTGGGCAAATCTGCCGCAAAAGACCTCTTTAAAGTGTTGAAAAGCAAAGACGTCACCTTGAAGACTAAGGTGCACCTGACCCAAGCCATAGCGTTTTCAATTGCATCATACACATGCGAAAGCTGGAGAATGATTAAGGAAGACAGAAGAAGAACTTATGTCTTTGAATTGTGGTGTAGGTGAAGAATATTGAATGTACCATGGACTGCTAAAAGAACGAACTAATCTGTCTTGGAAGAAGTACAACCACAATGCTCCTTAGAAGCAAGGATGGCGAGACTACATCTTGCATACTGTAGACATGTTGTCAGGAGGGATCATTCCCTGGAGAAGGACATCATGCTTGGTAAAGTAGAGGATCAGTGAAACAGAGGAAGACCCTCAACGAGGTCAGTTGACACAGGGCTGCAACAATGGGCTCAAGCATAACAATGATTGTGAGCATGGCACAGGACTGGGCAATGTTTCATTCTGTAGTCTATAGGGTCGCTATGAGACGGAACCGACTCGAGGACACCTAACAACAACAACAACTGGGAATCATAGCCCAGCCAAGTTGACACATAAAATGAACCATCATAGGAGCACACTAAATCTTCTCCCAGAACGATAATGTAATAATTAACATTAATATCCAAAGATATTACATGATCACTACCTTCTGTGAGACATGATAGGCTGGGGCCACTCCCTCTTCTCATCACCCAGGCCTTGCTCTCTGGGAGTCCCAAGTGATTTCAGGGATTAGGTGGCTGGAGCATTTTGGGGTAGCTGAAAACTACTCTGAGAGAAGATGTTACCACCAGGCAATGATAGATAGACCTTCAATGGTCATACACATGAATGAAGCCTTCCCCAAGGACTCTTATCTCCCCACAGAAAGCCTCAGGCTGAGTGGTATTTTCTTGTGACAGCTCCTCCCTTTCTATTCTCTTAAAGGATGCTGTTAAAGGAGACAGATATTAGAGGAAAACAAGAGACAATGGGGGCTACATGGAATTTCATTAGGGAGACCTTAATTTTGGAACTCAGAGGTACCTAAGAGAACCATAGTTCCTTTATGTCTTCATGTGATCACCCATTACTTGCACTCTGATCACTTTAATCTAATGACATCTGAAAGAGATAGGCCCTCCTTAGTAATTTGGTTAAACCAGAAGTAGGTATTATTTACCTTGTTTTACATATAATTGTATGAAGAGGAAGGAAAATAACTAATATTTGCTGGTGTTATCGGTTGAATTGTGTCCTCAAAAAATATGTGTTGTAAATCCTAATCCTTATATTTGTGGTTATAATCCCATTTAGGAATAGGTTTTCTTTGTTATGTTAAGAAGCCATATCAGTGTAGAGTGTGTTTTAAGCCAATCACCTTTGAGACACAAAAAGAGCAGATTAGGCATAGAGAAGCAAGCAGAGTTGGGGTAAGATAGATGCCACACCAGATGAGATCTCCAAGGAAGGAACCAAGAAACAGAAGCTGAAAAGAGACAAGGACCTTCACCCAGAGCCAACAGAGAGAGAAAGCCTTCCCCTAGAGCCGGTGCTCTAAATTAGAACTTCTAGCCTCCTAAACTGTGAGAAACTAGATTTGTTTGTTAAAGCCACCCACTTGTGGTATTTCTATTATAGCAGCACTAGATAACTAAGACAATTGGGTTCTAATCATTAACCTTTAAATACATCATCTCAATTAATATTTTCAGTGTTCTCCTCTGCTATCAAACTAATAGTAGTCGGGGGGGGTTTTCTTTACTTCCTTACCTCGCCTCTAGGAAGGGTTGCCACTGAGTCGACCTCATGTGTGTCAGAGTAGAACTGTGCTCCATAGCGTTTTCCATGGTTGATTTTTTGGGAGTAGATCACCAGGGTGGACTCTAACCTCCAACCTTTCAGTTAGTAGCCAAGTGCATTAACCATCTGGCACCATCAAGGGACTCTCTAGGCAAGGAATTGTGTACCAAATGGCCAAATGCAAGAGAAGGGAAAAAGACTGGAGAAGTAGGAACTGCATAATCAGTCCCTAATTACTTTGCAGATTAACTATGGAGTTGTAGGGTGGAAGCAGTCTTAAGAAATTGAGGAAAGATTCCATTGTCAATTTGGAAACAACTATTTCTATTCTTTCTGCCCGGCACAGGAACATCATCACTATCGCTGTGTTTTATGCACTGCCTGTGATCCAGCTGGTCATCACCTACCAGACAGTAAGTGCTACCCAACTGCAGAATCCCAGCTTCCATACTGCAGTGAAAAGATCTTTGCTATGACTTACAGAGAAAGGTATAGCTTGGAATCAGTTCAAGAATTAATTTCCCATTTGAGTTCCAAGTGGATTTTTCCATTACTTAATCTTTGACTGACCTTTCAATCTAGTTCCCAATTGTTTTATCACAAATGGACCTGGGATTTCTTATTTTGTCAACCAATCTGAAATTATTAACTTGCACTTATTCAGCTATAATATCCATCATCTGCATCTGTTATTACCAGTCTGAGCTTCTGATCATCATGGGATAATGAGTAGAGTACATAAAGTTCCAGACCAAAACAAAGAATTCCAGTGTCTAATTTAGCCTGTGCCATCTCATTAAGGGTAAATATTTTTGAGGTAAGGCCAAGATAGCAGAATAGTTGGATGCTTTTTGTCATCCCTCTTACAACAAAGACCTGAAAAAAACAAGTGAATCGGATATATATGACACTCTAGGAACCCTAATCATCAAAGACAAAGCTGAAGAATCTGACTGAGCAGCAGGTGGAAGAGATGATCCCAAAACAGTGGAAACTACAGATCGCGGGATCGCCAGCGTCCTGCTACCTGAATCGGCACAGTGCACACAGGTTGAGGCAAGCAGCACCATCCCAGGCTGAAACCCACCCTGTCTGGTGTAGCCAAGCAGAGCGAATCTGCGTGCACCTCCAGAACCAAACCGGAGCAGCACTTGGGGAAAAAAAAAAAGTTTCTGTCGAGACCTGCTTAGTAAAGTGCAAGCTCCCAAGCCACTGCTTGCGTCATAACCCCTCCCCCCACCAGAGCTCCAAGGCAAGGAGCACTCCCTTCTCCTCATCCATCCCCATCCCTGCTCCAACATCAGTCCCAGGCATTCAACAACACCATGCCCCCAAGCCAGGATCTCACAGCTGGGTCCAGAGGCACCTGCTCCTTTGCCCAGCCACTGGCATAAGGGGTCCACGGACTTGCAGCACCCTTCACCTCCGCTGATTACTGGCACCAGGGCCATGTGGCCCAATTCAGTGTGGCACTCCCTTATTAGGACTAAACGGGCAGGGCATCCACCTGAAGCCCACTTTCACCTGCATCAGCCAAGTAGGAACTGTAGATTTGTGACATTTGACACCACCTTACCCCTTAAGAAAGGGTCTCACCCACCCACACCAGGGGCCTGAGGGCCAGCGGTACTACCCAGTCCATCTAGCCATCCAAGACAGGGGCCTGAGAATCAGTGGTGCTTCCCAGGCCCTCTGCCAACGGCACCAGGCACACAAGAACCAGCTGCACTACTCCCCCGACTATGCACTCAAAGGGACAGGGGCATGTCTTCCATCCAGGAACCCAGGGGTAGCCAACAGCCCCCTGCCTTGCCCCCCTTATTGCCCCCTACTGCAACCAGAGACCTGTGCCTGCTCCAAACACCCCCACACAGCCTTGCCTGCCCTGGACTGTAGGTGAGAGTCTCTGAACCACACAGTTGGTGATGACAACTTGGACACCTGTGTCCTTACCAACTGCTAAGTGGCAGAGCACACACAAAACACCCAACACAACAACCAGGGAGAACACCCCCTGCACCCTCAGCCAGGTGAACAGCAGGACAGATTCATCACCTCACCAAAAATATTTGCCTACATCTTCAGCACTTGTGCAAGAACAGTGAACAGACTCCCAGGCTCACACACCTAGTAGCTGCTCTGACCAACCTGGAGACAGGAGGTGAGAGCTTCAGTGATGCCAACAACAAAAGTAGCACACACGCCCAGCCTACCTGGACATCTCAATATAAAATAAAACAAAAATACAGGATGCAGTAAACAAAAATAAAATAAATAAATGTAATAACTTATTGATACCTTGGAGACAACAGTCAATATCAAATCACATAAAAAGGCAAGACAAGATGGCCTCAGCAAGTGACCAAAATAAAGAACCAGAAACCTTCCAGAGGAAGATAAGGCAATGGAACTACCTAATAAAGAATTCAAAAGACTAATATACAGAGCTCTGCAAGAGATCAAGAAGGAGATCATGTAAAACACTGACCAAATCAAGGAACACACAAAGCAATAGAAGAACAGACAAAGCAATAGAAGAATTCATAAAAACAATAAAAGAACAAAATGACAGAATAAAGAGACTAATAGAAACCGTATAGAAACAGCAACTAGAAATCCAAAAGATTAACAATAAAATTTCAGAATTAGACAACTCAATAGAAGGTCATAGGAGCGGAATTGAGACAATGGGAGTCAGAATTAGTGAGATTGAAGATAAATGCCTTGACACAAGTTTGTTTGAGGAAAAATCAGAAACAATATGAAAAAAATGAAGAAAGCCAAAGAATTATGTGGTATACTATTAAAAGGAAAAACCTACAAGTGATCAGAGTACCAGAATGGGGGAGGGGGGAGGGTAACAAAAAACACAGAGAGAATTGTTGAAGATTTACTGGCAGAAAACATACCTAATATCATGAGAGATGAGAAGATACCTATCCATGAAGCTCAGTGAACCTCTTACAGGATAGATCCCAGAAGGAAGTCACTAAGACATATCATAATCAAATTCACCAAATCCAAAGAAAGAATCCTGAGAGCAGCTAGGGATAAATGAAAAGTTACCTACAAAGAAGAACCAATAAGGCTAAGCTCTCATTATTCAGCAGAAACCATGCAAGCAAGAAGGCAATGGGATGATATAAGCAAAGCCTTGAAGGAAAAAAATTGCCAGCCAAGAATTACATATCCAGCAAAATTGTCTCTCAAATATGATTGCAAATTTATCTCTCAAATGCAAAGACAAAATTAGGTCATTTCCAGATAAACAAGAAGTAAGGGAATTTGTAAAAACCAGACCGAAATTACAAGAAATATTAAAGGGAGTCCTCTGGTTAGAGAGCCAACAACATCAGACAACAATCCAAGGCTAGGACACAGGACAGATCAACCAGATACCAACCCAGATAGGGAATTCACAAAAACAAAACAAAGCTAAAAGACTGAAAATAGGGAACCAGAACTGTCAATATGTAAATGACAACTAAGTTGAAACAAAAAAGAGGGGATAAATGGTGTAGTCACAGAACTTCCATATGGAGAGGAAGTCAAGGTGATATCAAGAAATAAAAGACTGGTTTAACCTTAGAAAAATAAAGATAAATTTCAAGTAACTACAAAGGAAGCTAACAAACCTACTCATCAAAATAAAAAAGAAGAAAAGCATAAAGACTCAGCAAACACAAAATCTAGCAATAATGAAAGAGATGAAAATAAAATACATAAACAGAAAGAACTCAGCTCAGAAAATTAAGCAGAACAAAGAAAGCATCAACACCACACACACACACACACACACACACACAAAAAAAAAAATACATCAAAATGACTGCAGTAAACTCATACCTGTCAATAATTACACTGAATGTAAATGGTCTAAATGTACCAGTATACAGACAGACAGTGGCAGAAAGAATAAAAAAAACATGATCCATCTATATGCTGTCTATAAGAGACATATCTTAGACACAAAGACATAAGCAAACTAAAACTCAAAGGATGGACAAAGATATATCAAGCAAACAATAACCAAAAAAGAGCAGGAATGATGCTATTAATCTCTGGTAAAATAGCAAAATCCTCCATAAAGGATAAGGAATGACACTATATAATGATTAAACGATCAATACACCAGGAGGACATAACCATAATAAATATATATGCACCCAATGACCAAACCAAACCTGTTGTCATCATGTCAATTCCAACTCAAGGCAACTCTATCTATAGGACAGAGTAGAACTGCCCCATAGAGTTTCCAAGGAGTGGCTGGTGAATTTGAAGTGCCACCCTTTTTGGTTAGCAGCTGTAGCTCTTAACACCCAATGACAGGGCTCCAAAATACATAAAACAAACTCTATCCACATTGAAAAGAGAAATAGACAATTCCACAATAATAGTAGGAGACTTCAACACACCACTTTTGGTGAAGGACAGAACATCTAGAAAGAAACTCAGTAAAGATGCAGAAAATCTAAGTGCCACCATCAACCAACTAAACCTCATGGACATATACAGAACACTCCACCCAACACACACATCAAAAAAGAAGAAAGGGCCAAAATCAAAACGTTAACCCTACAGCTTGAACAAATAGAAACAGAGCAGCAAAAGAAGCCCTCAGTCACCAGAAGAAAGGAAGTAATAAAGATTAGACCAGAAATAAATGAAACAGAGAACTGAAAAACAAAAGAATCAACAAGACCAAAAGTTGGTTCTTTGAAAAGATCAACAAAGTTGTACCTTCCTTCGTTCATTGGCCAAACTAGAAAAAAAGTACAGGAAGCAAATAACTGGAATAAGAAATGAAACAGATGATATCACAACAGATCCAACTGAAAGAAAAAGGATCATAACAGAATATTATGATAAATTGTACTCCAACAAATTTGAAAACCTAGAGGAAATGGACAAATTTCTAGAAACACACTACCTACCTAAACTAACACAAACAGAGATAAAAACAAACCCATAACAGAACAAGAGATTGAAGAAGTAAAAAAAAAAAAAAAAAAAAAATCCCAACAGAAAAAAAGCCCTGGCCCAGACAGCTTCACTGGAGAAATCTACCAAACTTTCAGGGAAGAGCTAACAGCAATACTACTCAAGCTATTTCAGTGCATAAAAAAGGGAAAGAATGCTTCTGAACTCATTCTATGAAGCCAGCATAACCCTGATACCAAAGCCAGGCAAAGACACCACAAAAAAAGAAAACTACAGACCAATATCCCTCATGAACATAGATGAAAAAATTCTCAACAAAATTCTAGCCAGTAGAATTCAACAGTGCATCAAAAAAATAATACATCATGACCAAGTGGGATTCATACCAGGTATGCAGGGACAGTTCAACATTAGAAGATCAATCAACATAATCCACCACATAAATAAAACAAAAGAACAACATGATCTT